GAGCAATATTCAACGCCCTTAGTTTACTTTGGCTCAAACCTCCCGGCCCCCGCGTCGACCCGTCTGGGCGACACGGGCGGCAACGCCACAGCCGCCAACCTCTCCTCCCTCCCTCCCTCCCCTTGCCTCCTCGCCGTCGCCGGAGCGTGCTGCCGGAGGCCGCGCAGCTGCGAGGATGGTGGCGGCGGGGCCCTTCTTCCTTCCTTCCTTCCCTCCTTCTCCCAACCTGGTGGTGGCTCAGTCAGGCAATGGGGGTGGTTGTTCTGGCGGCCGGTGCCCGGATCCGCGGCACCAGTGGCCGGATCCGGTGACTCCGGCCCTCCCAAGGCCAGATTCGGCACTCGCCCGCTTGGATTCGGCCAGGGGAGCAGCTGGTGCGGGCGGCGGCGCGCGGAGGGGACAGGATCGATGGACGGCGCGGCGTGGTGCGGCGGGTGGCCGTGGACGGAGCGGGAGCTGGCATCTGCGCGAGGACGACGCCGGGCTCTTTCTTCGCTGGCTCATTCCTCCTCGTCCATGATGCGTCGACTACGGCGGCGGCGACGACCCAGTCCTCTGCGGAAGTGGCGGATCTGGCACTGCTGAAGGTGGATCCAGCTGCCCCCTTGCAGGATCTGCGCTAGTGAGCCTTGGGCCAGCTACGCGGTGGCATGTGGGGTTGCAGCACGTCGGGGAAATGTCGTTGGTGACCGGCCACAGGACGCCACACGCGGGCGTAGCTGACGGGCCGTGGTCATTGTTGTGCACAGGGGTGAGGCGCCATGGCGAAAGCTTTGTCTGTCTTGGGCTGATGATGACGACGCCTCTTGGTGCCATTTTCTTCCTTGGAAGCGTCAATCGAACGGCCCTCTCCCCTTTGCGTGCCGTGTCTTCTTGGGTGAAAACCTTGACCTTTTGGTCAGGTGATGCCGGCGCCGGTGGCGTCGCGTTCCTCCTTGGAGGCGTCGTTTTGGAAGCTCGTGCTTGGTCAGTCTGTGGCGGCGGGCAACGTCGTGGCGAGAATGGTGGAGGCCTAGCTGAGAATTCAAGTTTGCGGTGTCCACGACGAAGGAAGGCTGTCAGGAGGAGGGCGGTGGCGCAATGATTGGAGGGCCTTGCATCTGCTTGGCAGTGGAGGGCGGCAGTTTGGTGAGACTGTACGCCAGTGCGACCACGAAGTTCGCGAGGAGGCCGACGTGGGAGGTGCCCACGGAGTTGGCGAGGAGGCCGACGTGGGAGGTGGTGCCCAGCAGATTTGCGTTGCCGAGGTGACCTGCGTAGTGTGGCGGCGGGCGGTCCCGCTCAGCGGCGACTGTTTCCGGTGCAAGGAGGCATTCTGACTGACAGCCGGAGGATGTGTGTGGCACTTTCTACCTTCGATGAGGCAGCTAGATCCTAGAAGCTATGATGCGCACGCTTGAATCTCAGTGGACGGGGTCGGTTTGGCGAGCGCTAGAGGCAGCTATGGCTTGCAGCGGACTACGGCGATTAGCCTTGCTTGACAGCGGGCTACCTCGGTGTGGGACAGCGTCGGCAATGACAATGGTGTTTTCATCCTGACGGCTCTGTCGTCTGGTCGTTGCGAGTGCAGTGTAGTGACCTGTTTGTGGGTGTTTAGGGGGCGATCAAGTGTGTGTTCTGTGCTGAGCTTAGGCCTATGTGGCTCATGTCGATGTCCCAGTCCGACCGGCCAGAGTTGTTTTTTTTCTTCTCATGAGTTGGTGTGTGTTGATGGCCCAATCTAATCGCCCGTAGTTGTATCTTTTTATTTTCCCCGTCTGGGCTTTATCTGCTTTTTAATATAATCGGCGGCTCTCCTGCCAGATTCGTTTCAAAAAAAATCTAGAGGAGCAATTCTTCGCTCTTTTTTCTTAACACAAGCTGATCCACAAGTATGGCAGTAAAATGTTTTTGTTTCTTGCTCAACCCTGCAACTATCTTCTGGCCAAGCCTGTTGGGAGCACTAATATTTCTATTTTCGATAATGATTCCGCACGGTACGTCTCTCCCACTCGCTATCCTTGACTCCCTCTCGTCTGCATACTGCCAAAAAAATAAAAGTCTCCACCGCGCCCTCTCTCGCTCCTGTCCGCCTCCATCGCACTGTTCGCCTCCACCGTACTGCTTGCTCGCCACGGCCGACCCGCTCGTTGTGGCCGCCTCCATGGATTTGGCGAGCCGCGGCCGCCTCCACTGAGCCGGCGAGCCTCCACGATGGATGCTCCAGCAAGCACGTGAGGGGGGTGAGTTTCGTGTGAAGCTGTCCCGTCGGCGAGTTGCCCACGCTGCTGCCGCACGTCGAGCTCCATGCGTCGGCATCAAGTTCCACCATAACAAGCCTCCATTCATCCAAGCAACAAAATGACATTACGTTGAAAGCCCATGTTGCAAGCGTATGTTTCAAGTGTTTCAGATGTTTCATCTGGATGTTGCAAGTGTTTCATCTTGATGTTGCAAATGTAGATCAGGATATTAAACATGTTGCAATGGCTATGCGCATATGTTTTAAGTGTATGTTCCGAATGTTTCATCCAGATGTATGTTTGCAAGTGTTTTATCTAGATGTTGCATATGTTTTCCAAGTGTTTCAGACGTATGTTCCAAGTGTTTTAGTTGTTTCCATACATATGTTGCAAGTGTTTTCATCTATATGTTTTAAAAGTAGATCTAATGTTGCAGCAAGTGTTTCATATGTATGTTTCCTGCCTTCAGACGTATCTTGCAAGTGTTGCATCTGGATGTTTCAAAAGTAGATCGAGTGTTGCAGCTCTCTCCTCACTTTTCTGTCGCCTTGCATCGGTGTCTCTTCCTCCTCTGGCGCCGGCTGGGCATCCGCCGCCCTCTCTCTCTTTTTCTCGATGCTGGTGACGCTTGGGCTGACGTGGACCCGCGTGGACGCGTGAAACGACTGCAGGGCGCTAGTCGTTCCGTTCTATTTTTTATAGTAGATCCATGTTCACTTTCTTAAGAGATCCATGTTCTTGTGAACCGTAAACTGGATGGCAGTTGCGAATATTATACGCCATGCACAAATTTTTAACTGAAGTGGCCACGGGATTCTGTTGAACTTGTGCGCGATGATAGTATGACAGTCACTGCAATCTTTCTATATGAATCCTGGGTCCAAAAGCTGGCCGGCGATCGTGGCCACGTCGCGGGCCGTTCCCGGCCGTCGGATCGGGCGCGCGGACGGCCCAGATCGGGCTAAGCGTGGTCATTTTATAAAAAACCCCTTCAACTTTTCGGAAATGAACCCACGCTTCAGAAGCCCTCTCAGAATATTTTTCAAAAAACACCTTAGATTATTCCCAAATAAACCCGCAATCCAGAACGGATGGGCTCTGTTTTTTTTACAAAAAAGACCTTCACTTTATCGAAAATCAACCCGCGCTCCAGAGACACTCTCAGCAATTTTTACGAAAACCTCCTCATATTTTTTTCAAATCAAAATACAGGGCACCTTTGATTATATCTCTTTTTTCTGACCTCATGGCTTGTAACAGCGACTGGTAGAGCGCCTCCAGGCCCTGGCTCAGCGCCTCCTCCGTCTCCAGCGCCGACTGCTGCAGCCCGTACACGCCCACGATCTGCTGCTCCGTCAGGGGCTCCACGTGGCTCAGCACCATCTTATATACACACGTGCAATTACTTTAATTAAGCATCTAAACGACATGCTCACATGCATGATATATGCAGCAATTCATACGTGACCTGGGCCATGTATACGTACGCACTCATTATGCAGATGTGATGGAATGATAATGAGCCGATCGAATGTAGTACCTCCATCCCCCCACCCCACACACACACACAAAAATGCAAAGGCCTGTGCATGCATAGAGACTAAGCTTGACTTGCCGCCACAAAGTTTCAGTTCTTTTAGGCTATTGTGGGCCTCACATGTCAGTCTGATTTTTTCCAAAAAATAAATTAGCTGAAACTTTAAAATTGCATAGTAAATCACAAAAAAAAATATAAATTAGAAAATCAAGTTGATCTAAAATCCTAACAAGTAGAACTAAAACCTAACGAGCAGAACTATGCAGTGCATCCATAATATCACATGTTTTAGTAAGAATTTTTTCATATAAATTTTTACCTGTGCTTTTAGGGGTAAATAAAATTATACCTTCAGGATGATAAACTCTCGAAAATACATAAAAATCATAAAATAAACAAAAAAATGCTGATTTTCTCATTACTACACCTATATTCTTATTGCCACTAGCCTAATCGAAAGGGAAGGCGCGGCAAAGCCGCACCCGCGTTTCTAGTTTCAGAGGATTTGAAATTGCCGTAGCTTTTGTTATGTTGACACTTGTTAATCATGTGTCTAGCGTCTAGCCCTGATACTTGTCCTATCCAAGCTGGTCAAGCTAGTTGAACCCAAAAGCAAGGCCAAAGTCCCAGTAATAGAGGCTTAGGTGTGGGTCTTACCGTATCACTAACATCAATTCTTTCACTTCCTTTTTCCACAGCGAGTAATAAAAAGATAGTTGATCTGTTAGCTAGCTCCATCCGGCTGATTTCTTTCCAGACAATAATGCTACTTTATTACCCACCAAGCTGTGTCTCTAGTAAACTGGTAGTCACACACAATACAGAATTTCTGCAGCCAAAAGCACCAATCTAAAAACAAAAACAAAAACAAAAAACACATATCTGCAATTTCAAGAATAACTGCATGTAGCTGCGCGATGGCAAGCAGTACATTTTTTGTGCAAAATCACAGAAAAAAAAACAGTTAAAAGCGATTTTTCAGCGAATGAATCTCTCCTTTCCGCATGTTACATTTTCATTCTATTACACCAAACCAGGTTGACTAGTACAAAGACAGCACATAATATCAGTTGACACTATTGGTCTTCAGGTCCACAAAATTTGGCAAGAAAATGATGTCCAAGAATGTGTCAGAAAAAATACAGTGAATTTTACGTATCCAAAACTATGTTCCTTCCTACCTATGGTAAACACAACATGCTAATGTATCACGTGATGGCGAAGTAGCCAGCAATCTATCCTCAGGTTCTCTCTCTCTCAAACTCTCTCCGTATGGTCTCTAGCAACATCTCATTCCATGTGTCTACTGGTCCTGGCATGCACCAATGCAAACAATCCTGAGGTGGAGGTTTTCCATCTGGCCCTCTCTGTGTCTTCTTGTTTGGGTCAGGGCTTCTATACGGGCCAGGATGACCATCAGCCCTGAAGGCAAAGGGTTCAGTGATATCCATCAATTTCAACCTGGAACCATGTTCCCCCGCATTCTTCACTGCCTTCTTGAAGCCTGCAACCTGCTTTTCATGCATGGCATCGGTAAAGCCATTCCTCACCACTTCATCCAAGGGCTTGACCTTCCCAGTGCATGATCCACCAGTGTTCCATGCTCCACCTTCATAATGATCAGGTGACCATGTTCGCACAATAGCTAGGCCTGTGAAATTTGGGTTAGTCGCCACAGCAGTTAGGCAAGTCTCGACAGAGATACCAAAAGCATCCACATTGTTGACCTGCATTTTTCCTGCTTTACGAGGCCACCAAAGCTGCCCTCCAACAACATTCCCATTCAGGATATAGGCTGATCGTTTGGCAAACCAGTGGCCAGAGGAAAGGACAAGTACATCAAACCTTGGGAGGAACTCCATGAAGGTCTCATCAGGAATATCCAGAAAAACCTTATCAATACCCTTAGGAGCAATCCCCACAGCTTCAGTTGACCTGTGCACTAACCAAGAAGACCAGACACGGGCGATAGTTGTTTTAGTTGACTTGAAGAGCCACTTATGCATCCTTTTGTTGCCTCGGTTTTGTGGGACATCTACCTATAAAAAGGAGAACACCAAATGCTTTAAGACAATGAAGCAGATATATGTTGCCTGAGAACAAATGCTACAAAAACATTGAATGTAGACACACAAAACTGTTTAAAGTTGCCGTTCATATTACATTTACTGTATTCTAGGGATAAAAGCTTGTTAAGTGTTCAGGAGAGATTAATGTCAAACATGATGAGAAAAGGAAAGCTACTAATCTTAGTATTAGTTTTCGGAACTCCTACAAGAGCTTCTGAAATAGGTATCCTGATGAAATACACACTTTTAAGCAAATCTAACTCACAGAGCCTCCTACTTGTAACTCTGTAAGGGTATGGATAGAAGGATCTAGTTTTGTCCATTCTTTTTCTTATCAGTAATAGTTATTTTTTAGAGAAAAGGTCTCCAATGAAATAAAATGATGATGTTTGGCCTAGGGTACATCATCATCTGTAAAAATGCCTAGGAATTTGTCTGTACTTACATACCATTTGTTTTACAGGGTATAAGTTAGTAAACTAGTCACAAAAAGTATTTGGCAGATCATGGTTTTATCTTAATTACACTATAATGCAAATGTAAGATTCTGAACAGTGATGGGATAAGTCTCATGTGCTGGTCTTTGTGGGGCTGTGCTGGTCACATGGTCTTTGTGGCTGCATGGTCTGTTTTTAGGACAGCATAGGACAACATCTTAAACTAGAGGACAACATCTAGGACAGCATCTTAGACTAGCATATAGAGGACAGCATCTTAGCATCTAGGACAGCATCTTAGACTACATATGCTTGGCTGGCTAGCAGCTTATAAATATGTATCCCCAACCCCTCGGGTTGGCATGGCATTTGTGTGAGTTTGTGTGAGAAATAAAACCAGAAAATTGTCCAACTCCTAGTGTCATCCTCTCTCGATGAGAGTAAGAATTCTGCTCCTACCAAGAGTGAGAATTCAGCGACTAACAAACAGTAGCAGGGGGTATCTCACCTGCCACAGAATGCAAAGGAGGGACTCCATCTGGTTTCGAGCAACTGAATCCCCGACAAACGCAAGTGTCTTTCCTCTCATCAACTCCAAGAACTTCCTTGCATCAAAGCGCGGGAGGTTACACTGTTCTGGTTTCCATCTCCAATTCTCATAGTCCTTATCCGGTCGTCCATTTCCTTGGCAATTTTGCATCTGTGTGATGATAGGGCAAGAGTTGTTTGTGTATAGTGGCCCAGAAGAATCAGTAACCCACTCCCCACGGTAGAGATCACAAGTATCTGCACAATCAGAAAACAAGTATACAATGATAAATGACATTCCAATCCATTCATGTTGGTAAATATGCTGTGCAGAAATCTCAGGGAAACGAACTAACAGTTCACCTTGCTCAGCCTTTTGAGATTCATGAGATGTATCCTCGTTGGGAGTCGGTGTGGCATCACTGGAAGCAACTGGATCCGGCTCGTTGTCATCCATCTTTCCTGTAACTGCAGAAGTTTGGCTTGAATTCACGTCACCACCCTGACCATTCTGCTCCACTAAGGGTTCCCGCCCACCCTGCGACAATTCCTCCCCAATTGCAGGGCCACTACTGTTTCCATCAGCACGCTCCGACGACGAACGCTTCCCGATGCCAGTAACTCCGGCAGGGAGGTAGTCGTGCAGCGACGTCCGAGGCAGGGACGAGCCCTGGGACAGCGATATCACCACGAGGGTCAGCACCAGCCCCAGCACCGACACGACGACGGTGACAAGCCACCGCCGGACTCCGGTGACCCCCGCCGGGGCTTTCCTCCCCTGCAAGCTCATGGGCCCCGAGATCAACCCTCCCGCCCGAGCGGCATCTGCGCTACGCGGGGCGAAATTCAGATCCAGGAAAGGGAAACGGTAGCGACGGTGGACAAGTAGACGAGGAGGCGTACCAGCGTGGAATTTTGTGCGGGCGGCGCGGGGATCGGACCCGGGCGCGGAAGCGGCGTTGCTATGCTCACCGAGTCACCGTGGTCGGAGCTGGAGGAGGAAGCGATGGGGGGAAGGGGAAGAGAAGACCATCAGGGTGGGAAGGGCGAGGTGATTAATTGCTGATCAAGTGATCGTGCGGCTTGTCCAAGTTAAAAGGTAGGTTTCAGGAAGAATCTTCTCATGCAGATCGAGATCCGAATCTCTGTCTCACTCATACATAGCGGTACTGTAACTTTTGTGTGACTAGGCTGGCCTTAGACCTATGCTTTAGCGTGGGGCGAACGAGTAGATTTTTTCAATGCGCAGATAAACTACACGTTCTCCAGCCAACAAATTCGTCTCCGAGAGGGTTCGAACTCTGACCGACAGAGTTCAAAGCACACAACTAGATCAACTGGTGTAGGGTTCGCTTGCATTCTCCGATAAATAGATTTACCGCAAAACTAAATCTTGGACTGCTATGAATTATTTTAAGATTCCTGGATTCTAAATTTAAACGTGAATTACCTTGTGCCATTGACCTAGTCGTCGCATTGCATTTAGACGAAGTGTATCCAGGATGATTGGTTGATGAACGAAATTTAGTTGCCAGAACTTGGGAATGCCAAACATTTTGCTGTTATTGGGTTTGCTGCCAAAACTAGTCAATAGTATCTCATATTTTTATTGTCAAATCTGTGGTAATTCCATCTTTTACTTATCATCAAAATATTTGGTATGGTAGCAACAGGCAGACCCTTTTGTCTTGTCTTGTGGCCTTTATGATCACCTTGATAACAAATGGACGACACATCTTAGGACCTGTTTGGTAGGGCTTCTCTAGGCTCCGACTCTGGTTCTTACGGAGAAGCCTTCCCAGACATTTTCTTGACGAACCGTTTTAAAAGTATAGGAGCCGGAGCCGTTTTCCCTCTGGCTCCTCTAGAGGAGCCCCTCAAGAGAAGCCGTACCAAACACCCCCCTTAATACTGCCTAGTAGGTCACAACAAGCGTCTTTCCTTCAATTTTTTTATGTTTTCAAAAAAAATCCACGTCGAATGCTACTAGGAAAAATTATGTCTTAGTGAGGAAACATAACAAATCGAGCCATGGATTCAAATTTCTTATTTTTTTTCTGCGAACACAAAATCATTATGCAATAGAGTAAAGTATATTTTTCAATCTTCAATTTGCATAGTATTCTGATTTTTTATTCTTGAACTATGAAAAGGACAATTTATACAACTATCAAAACATGATAAATGTGGCTCTTGGATAAAACTGAATTGGATATTACGGATACCATATAGGTAGTTGTTTCTTTCTGGGATTCACAATTGAATACAGATAGTGTCAGACATGTTGAATATTGATATCTATATTATATTTGTATTATAAATCCAACTTCAAGTATTTAGATTCAGATATACTACGGATATTAAATATCAGGATTCGTCTATAGATGATCTAAGTTGGGTTTAGACCCTTTCGAGATGGACGATATCAGGAAATATCCATCCTATTTTCACTCTACTCTTGATGGTTGTAGATGTTTTTTCTATTTTATAAAAATAATAAAAAGTTTACTATCTAAAAATTCATAAATAATTTATTTTTAAAATAAAAAATATGAAAATAGTTTATAATTATATATATTTATTTAGAACTAGTTTATTTCGATTATTATTGCTGCATTGTTTGTAGTCATGTTCATTATTTGGAACTAGTTCAAAGTAAAAAAACGAGATTGGCGTGCAATTTAGAGGTTGAAAATATACTTTGCCCTCTATATAATATATGTAGTGTTGTCCCTATGTGGTGACCATGTTCTTACGGTGAACTACACTAAAAGTTGTTTAAAACACATTGAAACACAATCACTATGAAATATTACAAACTCACAGTGTTTGCCCAAATCAAAGTTAAATAGCTCATCAAGTTTCACAAGGTAAGACGAAAAGTTATCCATATTCCCAGACGATAAATATCCCGAATGCAAACTTCTCTTCACACAAATGTTAGTTTTTTTAAGGTCTATAGCATTTGCTCCTTGCAAAATATAAATCATTTTAGCTTTATTTTAAGTTAAACTTATCTACCTTTGACCAATCATATAAGAGTTTTATTAGTATCATCTATATCAAATAAATACACTACCAAACACATATTTTATGACGAGCTTAATAAAACTAATTTGATATAGTAGATGTTGGTACATTTTTCTATAAACTTTATTCACATTTGAGAAGTTTAACTTAGGATTAAAAAAAGCTATATACATTTTAGAACGGAGGGAGCATGTCGACAATTGTCCAGGAAATGGAGCAGCTTCGGAATGACTATTGGAACTTTACATTGCCTGTAATCTAACATGTTATGAACAAATATCGTCTAATTTTGCTCAAATTTACATCACGCTACCAACTTTGACTCGCAGTGTGCACTGCAGCAGGCTAGTATAATTTAACCACCCTTCGTGTGTGTTGCGTGCTGAAACAAAGAAATTTCCTAACCATGGATCATGCTGATGCTTGGCATAATTTCACCCAAACCCATCAGATACATGAGCACAGGTGACAAGTCTAGCTAAACCAAAGCCCGTTTTAAGCCTCCAACCAATGCCATCATATCAGCTTATAAGCCTCCCAGGCAGGCTATGCCTTGGCGTTCCAGAGCTGACTGAGCTCCCCCCTCTTCGCTCCAAGCAAGACGATAACTCCTGCACAAATTCGACGCAACAATAGCTATAAGAACTCTGATATATTGCCCACCAGAATGTGTAATAAGGAATCAAAATCTCTGCTGCTCTGGTACCTAGTGTTGAAGGAACAAGGTAGAGCAGAGCTGGCTGGCCACTGCTCATTAGGTACAAGCCAACATATGTGCATGACAAGCCTGCATTGGCATGACATTGGTTTTTTAGAAAAAGAATCAGACAGGGAGCCGCCGATTATATAAAAAAACCAGAAAGGCATGACATGTAAGCAGTATTGTTCTTCTCTGAAACTTAAATTCAGAGGTGGACTGACTGCTACATACCGAAGGCATAACCGATCATTAGGCAGAGGAAATAGCCGTCTGTCAAGTCTTTGCCGTGTGTTCTGTCAAATCTACAGTTCAGTTGCAGCTGGTAAGTTTCAGGCGAAGAAACAATTTTGTTCTTATAACTGAAACTGTGGATGGAATCAGAGTCCAGTTGGGGTATTCACCTGAAACTGAAAGCAACAAGCAGTCCTGGGAAGAGAATGTCCCCGAATCCAATCATGTCATACCCATTCCACGAATCGAACTCCTTTGGCATCTTCAACACCATGGGAAGGCTCGGCCCATCATCACTGCCACGAGCAACCTGAATTTTTGCGAGATTTCATTTCGGATATGCTCAGCTCACGACATGATGTGTTCAGTAGCCATCTGTGATTTGATTTCAAACTCACTGTGATCATGACGCTTTTCTTGAATATAAGGGGTGATATGAAGACCCAGAATATGTCGTAGAAAAAAGCGGCCACAAGGAGTGCCGATGCAACCTGAAAAAATGATCTAAACCTCGTCAGAGTCAGAGATGTGCTCCACTCCAGTTGACAAAGGCAGATGAAGAAAAGATATCATCTTGAAGACTTGTTGAACCATAGCGTGTCAGTCCATAACCGCTCGTACTTTTATGTTTGGCATACGCACCACTTGCAATACTAGAATCATCATGCAGATGCCCTGGATGAAGAAGAACCGTGTCAGTGAGCACAGACACTGATGAAGGATGGGAGCAAGCAGGAAAGTAGCTGTGAATAATGAGATGAGGAGAGCACATTGGGCTCCTCGGACACAGGCCCATGGATCTTACGTACCATGAGGTTCTGACCAACCCAAGCAAGCGGTGAGTTCTGGTGTGTGGCCCAGGCCAAGGCGAAGATGAAGGCTAGCGGCAAGATGACTAGCGTGACCACCTTCACGTTCCCTAGAGCAGGAAGCTTCGCTTTCGCCTCGCGACACCGCTGGCAGAGTCTGCACGCAGCAGTTTTTCAAGAACTAGCTAGGCGTATGCAAACAAGCACTGAATAGGTAGCACACGAGTATATGCACACCTTACAATCAGAGATGATGCCACGTATTCCATTCCCTGCAAGTAGATGATGACAAGTTAAAGATGAGGTGACTGCACTTCGTGCATTAGCTGCGTCGATCATGTGAACTAGCAAAGTTCATTGGAATTATTGGGTATGTACCTGGACTCCCCCGAGGCAGAAGAGGAAAACCAGGAGCCAGGCGGACCAGCTGGAGTTGAAGAAGAAGAGGAAGAGCAGGACAAGCGAGGACGTGACGATGAACACGAGTGCCGTCTGGGTTTGCAGCTCCACGACCTCGGCGTCCGGGTTCTCCTCCCCACCCAGGGAAACATCGCCCTGCTTGGTAGGCTGGATCAAGAAAGTCGGTCGTTGCCACATGGACATTTCAGTAATCTAGCAAGCTTCTGCAGAAACCCAGCTCGATCGACATTCAGTTTCTTTTGTGCCTGTATACGCACGTACCTCTTCTCCGACGACGGCGACGGTCCACACGGAGGCGCAGGCCACCGTGCCGACGGCCATCATCCAGAGGAAAGGTATGGCGCCATCGAAGGACGGCTTCAGCGGCGCGTACATGAGAATGTCGACTGCACGCAAGGGAACCGAATCATGGATGGATGAAAATGGGTAAGTACGTGGCACATGAGAGCGTGGAGGTACTGGGAACGCGTAGCTATCTGTTCTCACCCTTGGACCCGTCCCCGATGGCCGACTGGACCTTGTCGCCGGCGGACTTGGCCACCATGACGACGGGGATGCCGATGTTGGGAGGCGGGTCCTTGTCGGAGCAGACCATCCTCT